CACCCACCATATAGTCCCAGAGGCATGGTAAAGGCAGACTTGGCTATGGTGTCTGGATTCAGTGCCATTTGCCAGAATCCTTTGGACAGATCAAGAGTAGAGATGCCCTTGGCTGGGCCCAGGCGATCAAGTAAAGAGTTCGTCCTGGGCATAGGGTAAGCGTCAGGGGTGATAATAGCACTTAGCTTCCAGTAGTCCACACAGAACCAGATGGACATGTCCTGCTTTCGGACACGTACCACCAGGCTGGCCCAGGGACTTATTGAAGGCCAGATTACCCCTAACCCTTTTATTTCTGTGATTTTTTGCATCACCTTTGCATTAACTGGGTAAGGCCTGGATTGGATAGGGCGATGGCTGCCCGTGTCTGTAGAGTGTACTGCCAGTTCATTTTACCTGGTTTGTTGGAGAACACTGTCTCAAAGTTCTTGAGTGCTACGAGCAGCTTGTCCTTGTCCTGGGACGGCAGATGGTCCAGCAGGTGGAGTTCCTCTATTTCTGCCTCTTTATCCCAGTTACCATACATGGTATGGCTCCTTTGGATCCTCAGGTGATTTTTTTACTGAGGAAATTCAGAATACCGCATCACTTTTATTAAAGTATGGTTTAAGCATGTTTATATGTACTATCTTAGACTTTTTCCCACTTCTGGTAACGACATAGGCTACATCGTTCAGCTTGTTTAGGATGACATGGGGACCTTCCCAAGGTGCTTGCAGCTTGTCTGTTTTTAGTGGCAGGAAAACCATGACATTATTACCTCATTTAAAGATATGTAAGTGAGCCTTTTTATCATACCAGGCACTTTGCTTCTCCTGGGCCTGGGCCAGCGAGTTTTGTGACACCTTTATTATGTCAGTTAGCTTCTGATGAAAGCTGAGCACGTATTTTACCATGTAGTGTTATGTCTCAGCTCTGTGTTCTTGGGAGCCCTGGCACCGGATGCAGTCTGTCTGACTCACAAAGAATTCCCCCTCCCTCCCTTCCTCTACCTAAACAAAACTGATTAACTTGCAGTGAGAGACACACCTAAGACCCTCCAGATAAGGGTGACAAGAGTGAAACAACTGCCCTAGGTCTCATTTGCATCCAAGATGGAACCAGATGATCATTCATTTACATGAGAGATGGAGAACAGAAAGCCTGAAGCAGAGACTGCAGTGAACTCTGGGATCAGAGAAGCAGGGGAGCACTGCATGATGGGGAATCTGTGCTCCAAATGCTAATCAATCCACATTTACACACACACAGCTCAGCATTTATCAGACCAGTTCTAATCTGGATTTACAAAGGACTTCCCCCCCCACACACACACATCTAAGCAGAAGTAAAGTTTAATAGGCATCTCTGGCCGTACATTCCCCAGTCCCACTATGGGAGGCCTATTTAAACTTGATTGACTAAAACTCGGTTGCCGGGTTAGGGAATGCTGAGGCAAGAGACCGAGTCAGAGGGGGTATGGGCAACATTTGAACAATGGT